TTCAAGTAGAGAGAAACATTCTTAACGCCACAGTATCAAATATGAAACGATCGCTAAACGAGTTACCTTGGCGTGTAAGAAATTTATCCGTTTTCAAGAAAATGCAAGTGAACAGAGAAAACAAAAAGAGTAAAAAACTCTTGTAATGTAGACCTATTATGTAATTCTAAATTGTGACCTTGTGGTCATTCTTAAAGTTGAAGGCTCATTCAAAGACAGAAAGTTAAACACCGACACATTGAAATTCTGAATCCAAGCCAATGATAATGGAAAACAAAACAAAAATTGAAATGTTACATAACTAAAACCATTCTCAAAGGAGAGGTAAGAGTCAAAGCCCTAAACTAAAACAAATTCAAAAGAAGACATATATGAACCAAAATCTTTGTTTCCTTGAGCCAAACCAAACCAACCCAAAAAAATATAAAATATTACAAACTACTTTCCTTCGGTAGATAAAGGAACAAGAGCCGAAACCTTTCTCTGAATCATTCTTTCTTTCGTTCCCCTAAAACGTAGAAGAGATTCAGACCGCGTTATCAGATCGCTGCATTTTTTGTTTTTTATCCTTAGCGGCCACCACGGTAGTAACCGTTACCTCTTGGCCTGTAGTCACTTCCGTCTTGGTTTCCTCTACCGGACACACGGGGACCAAACCGGCCTCTTGGTGCTTCTGTTGGGTAACCTCCCCTTCCACGTCCTCCTCTTCCTGGTCAATAGACAATTACGGTCAAAATGAGATTGCATGTTGTAAAACTTCCATCCTTATGAGGAATTTACAAGACACTCAAAAAGTTTTATGATCTAGAAATTGTTGGGCACAGAGAACGGTTTTCAAAAGAAGGACTTACTTGCTCCGCGAACACCAGCGGGATTGGGTCTTCGTTCCTCGATGTACACTTGCCTTCCACCCAAGTATATAGGAGAAGCCTATTTGTTACACAGACAGAAACCGATAAGAACAAACCGAAATGGAAAGAGAAGAAGACAATTATTCTAAGGAGTCGCATGGTGGTAACTGTGTAAAGGAATCTAGACCTTAATAGCATTCTCGACGGAAGTCATGTCCTCAAACTCAACAAAAGCATAGCAAACGCCGATAACATCCTGCATGTTTGGTTGTTTAAGATTGTTAGCTTTGGTTCTTCATATCACATACAAAATATGGAAAGCAAAAAAACAAGGAAATGAAGAATATTATTACCTTGCGGGTTCTGAGGAAAACACCATCAGGCTTGATTGTGCCAAAGTTCTTAAACTCTTCCTCGATTTCAGAAGCAGATATGTTGGAAGGCAAATTCCTCACGTACACCGATTTGAACTCGACTGGAACATGGCAAACAAAAACAAAATGAATACACAATTCCAGAATGACAAATGAGAAAGTTCAGAACTTTTACTGATCAAAAATATTAAACAACTTACAGTCTTCAAATCCCGCGCCATCTTCCATCTCTGCACCATAGTCACTAACATACGGAGAAGAAACGTTTGATTGCTGAGGAGGGGCAAGAGGAGCAGCCACCTGGGGGGAAGGTGTTCGCTGTGGTTGATCCCACTCATTAGTATCTTGAGAGCTCTTGTTATATGATGGCTGTGTAGCAGCTACAGGCACAGCTGCTGCTTCCTTTGCAACCCGTAACTGAGAGAAACAGAAATCAGCACATCTCCAATAAAAACTCTTTTTCTATAACTTCACCGACACAAAATCAAAAGTAAAGTACAAATGACAAAACCGAATAATCACAATTCATCAAGTTATGAGTTCGTTATCCCTACAGCCTACTAGAAATTTCTACTCTTGAGTGATGACACAAATACAAATGAAAACAGTAAGTTGTGTGCTTCCAGGTTAATTATTTTTTAACAGATATATTGTTTGGTTAGTATGCTGAACAACCCACACATGAGCATAGGGAGTGTGTACTTACAATGGAAGCATAACTCATCTTCGACTTCTCACCAACAGGCTCTTCTGCTGGTGCAGCCCGAGGTTCATGCACTACATCAACCACAACTTCATCCCTTACTGTTTCCTCAACCGCACCTTCATCCTCATAGTCTTCTTCCTGTGGCTGATAATGTTGCTCTTCTTGCAGACTGTACTTATCGACAAGATCATCTTTGATTTGGACTGAGTTCACGTAATCTCTCGCCTCTTGCTCCAGAACATAGTCAGGAACTGCAATTCAAACCAGTGATATGACAATCTTAGTTCAACATAAAAAACAAACAAATTCATCACTTTGACTATGCATAAACCATCTATAGTTTGCTTTTTTCAAGACGTATCAAACAAACCTTGGGGTTCCGGATGAGGGCTTGGAGGATTTAGCTGAGCCTCGTGCTTACTTTCGGATAAATAAGAAGGCTGATGATAGAAGACAGATCCATCATCAATGAACTGAAAGATATCATTGAGAACAAAATAACCCTTTTCCTGCGGAGCGAGAAAAAAGGTCTGCATAAAATTCCTTCTGTTGCTAAACTCCTTAGTTTTCACAGAGCCTGAAACCGCTACAAGAACACCACCCTCCCATGACTCAACTGAATTGATCGTCTTCACTTCAATCGCCGTAAAATTCAGTGACATGACCATGTTATGAATATGCTGCAATCACAAAGAAAAAATTGAAACCAAATTGATGATCTTTACTAATTCAAACAATACCAAAAGCACAAATCATCATCAACTTAGTTTCGCACAACCTCGAGAAGCAAAATTCAAGGTTTAACTAATCGGATCCTATGAACTATAACAAGATTCGTAGAAACAGAATCAAAGCTTATAATTACCAGCAAAGTATTGGCAGTCTCACTGGAATCTCCATCAACACGGATCGCTCTACTAGACTCAGAGTAAAACTGATGAATAAGATCTGGTTGCTGCTGCAAAACTTGATAGTACTGTCCCACAAAGTACGAACCCACCTGCAAACAAAGATTCGACTAATCAGCAAAAACCCGTTATACCGTACAAAAAAAAACCCATAATCAATTTAACTCGCCTGCATCGCTCCAGGATAAGGAGACGCCATTATTGACACTAATATAAAGCTTCTAAAGATCCGAAGGAGATCGAATCGAATAAACCCCTCAATCCGAACTCTATCCCCTGAATGAAACTGGTTCCGGGAAGACGAGGAAAGAAGAGTAAAGGTGGTCTCTCTCTCTCTATTCGATTAAAGTAGAACAGATCTGAGAATGAAGAAGCAAGATGGTCGATGAAGGAATGAGATTTATATAGGGTTTACAGACAAAAGGGAAGGAGTTTTAGATCTACAAGGAATGGGAAAATGAAGAGATTAAAGGGTTTAGATAGGGTAAGGGGACTTAGAGAAGAGGAGGCGCTTCTTTTATTCCTTTTCTCTATACATATTGGTCCTTCATCTTTCTTTTTCTCATTAAATTTGTCCCATAAGCTCTTAATTGCTCAATATAACTCTAAATTTTATAACTATAATAGTATAACTTTTTTTGGGTTTATGAATGGTAACAGTTAATTATAATTAAAAGAACTTAAAATATTAGCATAAATGACAATACAATATTACAATTCACGGATATATGACAAGTGTTACCATTTCTATATGTAAATAAATGATTATTAGTAGATTTTCTCAAATCCCTTTTTCTTCCTCCCATTACCATGTTTACTATTCAAATTCATTTATCTTCTTTTCTCTCCCCATAAGTTTTGAGGTTTTACTAAAAACCCCCAAACTTTTACAATTACATTAATCCTCCAGAAAATCAACGGGCTGGCTAAGTTATTGGGCCTTAAGGGCCCATTCAAGGTATGGTAAACAAAAACGAAAACCCTCGTTATCTTTCCTCTTTCTCGCAGAGGAAAACGATTCAGAAAGCAAGAAGACGAAATAATATTCTCTCTGATCAATATGGCGGCGAAGAGAATCGGTGCCGGTAAATCTGGCGGTGGTGGAGATTCGAGCATCTTAGCGAAGATCTCTAATTCCGAGATCGTATCTCAGGGTAGACGTGTAGCTGGAGATACCGTTGAAGTATCGAAGAAATTGCTCTGGAGCACTGGAAAAGCTGCGTGGATCAGTGGGACAACTTTTCTAATCCTTGTTGTTCCATTGATTATCGTGATGGATCGTGAAGCTCAGCTTAATGAATTGGAACTTCAACAAGCTAGTCTTCTCGGAACTCCACCGTCTACTATGCAAAGATGATTTTAGAAACCCTACTTCTATTCAGAGGGATTCGATTATGTTTCTATTAGTTTCTGTTTTTGGAATTCGTATAAGAGTGTTTTTACACTTTGTGGATTCATAAAGTTGGAAGCTTTGTTTTTTATTATCATCTTTGACATTGGTTTCTCGTATCTGTTTACAAGCTTTTATCTTATGGAAATCACTTTTATAGCAATTAGTAAGTTTAAATTGTGGATCTTTAGGTTTTGATATTGAAGCTTATTGGTTCTCATTCGATTGCTATGGAATCCTCTCTACTAGTTTATGTTCTGGTGAATTTTGTATAAGGGTTAGTAAGTTCACTTTTGGATCTTAAAGGTTTTGAAATTGAAAGCTTCTTGGTTCTGTTATGGTGTTTTCGGATTCGAATTCTTATTAGAGTGCTTACACATTGTGGATTCATGAAGTTGGAAGCTTGTTTTATTATCATCTTGAGATTGATTTGGGAATTGATAATTCGTTTCTATAGCAATAGTTTAGTTAGATTTTGGATCTTTAGGCTTTGAAATTGAAGCTTCTTAGTTATCATTGAATCCTATGGAATCCTTTCATGTATATATATATGCCTTAGAGTTCTGAAACTTTTCACTTCCTTTGAATGGTTTAATAACACCCTTTAATGTACTTGTTTGGTGGTCTTCTTCTTGTTGATAGTACTTGAGCGAGATTTTGCAATGTCGCGTGAAGTTTGAGTTTTATAGGGATTGTTTGATGTGATTTGCCAAGTTGTAGTCTTTGATTCATCAAAGGTTTAGGGTGAAAGAAGAAAATTTTCAGCTTCTTGTCTCTTGCTTGGTTCAGAGGATATTTGTATGGTGATGTTTATCATGTGACTCTCCTCTTTCTATGTTCCCATGTTTGGAAACTCATGTTCATGATCTAATTCAACCAAATTTTGGTATCGATTTCAAAATCTAGTGGTAGAAACCAAATCACCTGCTCTCTCAATCTGTGTTCTCTTCAAAACATTCCTAACACGGTAGGAGTCCCGAGGTATAGATTGCTCGTTGAAGTAAGTTCTATCGATTTGTGCTCAGAAACAATGTCGAAATCAATCAGGTACACAAACTATTCATCTACTTTGCCTGTCATGGTTTTTACTATATTTTGTGCATACTGTTGAACACTATCATAAATAGAAAGACAAAAAGAGGTAGTGAAATGTATAGTTGTACCCTGTGATCTCACTTACTACAAGGCTCCAAAATGTATCACTTTGAGCTACCAATAAAGCTTCATTACTCTCTCTCTCACTGAAAACGATTGAAAACGACTGAAAATAGATTTATCAAGAAATTGAGTAGTCACGTTCACACAGACTTGTATATTGCTTCACTAAAGTTGCTTTCATTTGTCTTCAATTTTCTACTTTGATGCTAAATTTTACTCTTTTTTTAATTGTGGGTATTTGCTTTTTTTTATCTGATATAAAATTATAAACATTATGGAAATAAACAATACTAATCAGTAAGTTGACGAATCTCTTTTCAATTTCATCGATTAAAATCAGAGTTGAATATACAAATGGGACTAGTTACTATTACTTTTTTTATTATTACAACCTTCAAAATTGTTATAGAACAATTCAATAAGCATCATATTTACTCTTCTTCTTCATAGCAGATTTCA